TTCTCATTAATTTTAAGAGCAAATTATATAATTTCAGGATCTTTGTTTTTATTTTCAAAACTTATCCCAAGAAGTTAAAATAAAAATAAAATAATTTTAATATAATAAAATAATAGTTAAAATAAATAATTACATTATTACAGGCAAGTGCTTTATATTACGACATGAAACTGAAAATTMACAATATGACAATATATAATATGGCTAATGGTGATTGTCCAAACTATGTATGGAATGAAAGTGAAGGTGAGTTGGAAGCCTCTGTTTTTGTTACCATTTTGATTAAACATTTAATCAAAGTGTATATAAATAAATTACCAATTRTTATTTATTCGGATGGCTATGGCTATCAAAACCGCATTGCAGTTCTCAGTAATACTCACTTGCATTTTTCTAAGGCTCATAATGTGCAAATAGAACAGAAGTTTCTGGTCAAAGGCCACACCCAAATAGAGTGTGATTCCGTCCACAGCCTAATTGAGAGACAGTCTAAAGGAGGAGATATTTTTTTACCCTACGATTTTGTTAAAATAATCAAAAAATCTCGCAAAAATCCCATACCACTGGATGTAGAATTATTAACATACAAATATTTTTTAGATTAAAGATCACTAGATTTACAGATCAAAACGCCCTGGGAACTCTAAAGGTGATCCTGAAGTTAAAGATATACTTGCATTTAAATATAATCCTAATTCTTTAGTTATATTGAATTCAAGTTATTATTTGATGAAATGTATWGTGCTTTACCTCAAAGCAGGGGCGTAATTAAGGGGGATATACCCCACCCAGAGCCTATATAATGAGTATATTTATAATATATTAATTTGAAGCTTATGGAATTATATGTTTTATCGTGCTKACATCACGACGAAATATATTAAATATAATTAATATCAAGAAATCTATAAATTATTATTTAATTTAAAAGTAAATTTTAATTCTAATATATTCAAAATTTACATTTTGAAGAAATTATAATATTGTATAGGTACTAAATYGTGTAGAATTTTAAAGCACATTTATTAATACATTTTGTGTACATATATATTAGTTTAAGAATTTTTGATGAAATAGTTTTCCCAGATATTGYRCTTGAAARTCYAAGTATTTTGTGTGGAAAAAAATGTTTATCCCCCCCTAAGACAAATTCCTAATTATGTCACTGTCTCAAAGGGTTAAATCACTTCACCCAGAAATAAATATAAACTCATATAAGCCATTGTATTTAAAACCTATTGATTTAACGCTTTTGAAGTGGGAAGATCTACAAAAACTTAAGACTGTGATGCCTGTTGATGTAAACTCATTCTATAATAATCTTCCTCATAAAAAAAACTTTTAAAACTAGAAATAGTAAAGTGTGATAATTATTACATAAAAGACTGAAAAAAATTGTTTATTTTATTTAAAAGACTGACAGAAACAGTCATTATTTGTTTAGTTAAAGTATACATTGTTCATTAATATTTAAATTTAGTATTTGTTAAAAAAATGTTTATGATTTTACTATTAATTTTGTTATTCTAATATTAAAATATTATTTTGTATTCGAATGTTAAAGAATAAAAGAAACAGTTTATATTAGTCTTCAAAAATGCTTATGATTTTACTATTTTGTTATATCCTTATATTAATATTAATATGTTATTATTTTGTATTTAAAAGTTAAAGACTGAAAGAACCAGTTTATAATAGGTTTTCTTTATTTTTAAGATCTGTTGAAATGTTATAATAAAGAAAAAACATGTTTTTGATATCATACTATTAAATTAAACAATTTTCTTGGTCAATCATTTAATATAATCCTGCAATGTAAAATCTCGTAACCTCGCTCGTAACTGACAAAAAAATGGCTGTTAATTTCACGTATCTACTTTAGAATTTACTAAAACCTATTTTTCAAAAATAAATCATAATTTAAAGGGGAGGGTGGGTGGGAGGGGGCCAATATTTCTTTACATCAGTACAAGATAAGACGTTACATTGCAGCAGCTTTCACGGTTCACTTATAAATATTAAGTATAATATAATTAAATATAAAGTATCAAAGTTAAATCAGAAACCTGAATTTTTTGTAAATTGTGATTATAAATTTTACGTCACAATTATATTCTTACACATCTTATGGGCCAAGGGGGGCCCAGTCCCTTTTTAGAGAAACTTTTTAGATTCTAAGCGTAACTACCTATATTAATTCACTATGTCACTATATCACTTCCTATGTCGAATTAAATCAGTAGCCGCATGACATATACATTTACCGATGTATTTGCATAGATACTAATAATACTATCGACTTTTTTGGTAATTACTTCATTAGTTATTGTTTGCATCGTTTTATAGAAGAAAATATGCATTTAAAAACCATAAAATTAATTAGAAAAATTCACCAGAATTAATACAAATCAGTAAATGCTTTGTCTCAAATCTTATTCATGATATTGATATTTGTATTCTACATAAAATATAATCATTTAAGTTAATGAGTGCCTCAATATGTATTTATATTATTATTTATTACATTTATGTGATTGGTCAAAAATATCTCAATCATGTTGGTAAAGAATCTATATCAAGAATTATATGTTACACACTTATATATACAAAAATTCAATAAATATTAAGTAAATGTAATTTATAGTATTYGTAATTTATTTCAAACTATTAATTAGATAAGTATTGAAACTTAATCATACCTAGAGTTAAAAAAAGAGTTTCAGCTAAACAATTTCATAAACTTAACACTACCTATTGTCTATTGTTAAAGACACAAAAGCAATCCTATAGAAAAATTATGTCCCCATAAACACTATAGGTTCACCTATAATTAAATCAAACTAAATTAAATTTCATGATTAATAATATTCTCATTATATAATTATTATTAATATTAATATTAATATTAATATTTAATCAACGTTAATACCCAATTTTCAAAACATTACTATAAAAAAAAAAAAAAATTAAAACCAATAGGTAGAAGAACAACTATGTACCCAAGTATATTATGATTTAACCATTTAAGATAGTTAACAAAGTACCTACCTACAAAAAATAAAAATAAATATGAAGTATAAAGTATGAAGTACCTAAAACATATTAGACCAACCAGTAGCAAGGTAGATTAGGTAGGTACCTATGTAGGTACCATGTTTGTAAATACCCACAGTCAATAATAGTTCTCAGTACAATGTCACAATAGGCATCAACTATAAACCTTTGGGTTGAATTACATCAAATTTATTTCTTATGAGCAGGGCTAAGATTTGTATGCAATACAATTTGTAAAATATGCATTTTACTTACGAAAATATGCAAAAATATGCATTTTAATTTCTATCTTAGATTTTATATTGACATACTTTTACTAATTGTATTTATCTTTCTCCATAAAATTACTCAATCTTTAATCGCATACCTATTGTACCATAGGATTGTATTCATAAAAATAAAATTTGTGTTTGACAAAAAAACCAAGTTTTATACTTTAATCAGCAGAGCTAGAATTAAATACAAAATATTAATAGGTATTAAATTATAAATATTAATTACAAAATATACTATGAAATATTATTGCATTTTTCGCATTATTATAATCGAAATATGCAATAATATTTATTTTCTTCAATATATTATGCAAAAACATGCAAAATAAAAACATCACCATTTAACTCATCATGAGGTGATTCGTGGACATTACTGACAAAATCAATAATCAGAAGTCACAAAAAAAACATGCTGTTGCATACAAATCCTAGACCTGCTTATGAGTTATGAATTTATAAATATTAAATATTATTAGTTAATATTAAAAATCGGATTTATATTCTCTTAAGAATGTAAAAAATATGCAAAAATAATCAATTAACATAATTTAATATATTTAAAAAAAAATTTATTGACGACATTCTAGTAATAGTGAGACCTTGTATACTAACGTACTATAATATATCTTTAAAAATGATTTTTTTGTTTTTGATTAATGTATTAATATTTGGGTGGATTTCTTTTGATCGAAATTATATGAAAATTAATACAATTTATAGTTGTTTTCTGGGTGTTGTGATTTTAAAATAAATACATTTTTTCTAACAATTTACAAAATTTTTTCTACAAACTCAGGCTTAGACGAATCATCCACATTTTTTACTCTCGTAAGACTTCAAAGACCAGTAATGATATGTAAAACCAAAATTCCGGTCTCTAGTTATTACGAACAGCACCAAATGGGCAAATGGACATTATAAATAACATTTAGAGGCACAATTTAAGCTTGCTCTAATCACTGAATTTATTGAAACATTAAATCTTTTACTGTGGAACAAAGAAAAATCTAGTTCCTGAAGTAGATACTGGCTAGATACAGTACATAAACCTAAATGTACACTCAAAAACCTCCAAAATGACTAAACTTGAGGAGGTATCTCTTACACAAATTTAAATGAAAATTTGATTATGATAATTCATAAGAAAGATAGCCTTAGTAATTTATGACATTGTTAGTACAGGTTCCCTATGAAAATCAGAAGTTGATAGTGGCTTACACAATAAATATTAAGGTGATAAAAATTTAAAGTATTCATTTTTAAAATGCATTTCGAAAATTAATTAAAAACTAGTTTATAGGTCTATGGTACCTATACAATAAAATACAAGACACTATTTTAATATTCTAGATCAGCGGTTCTCAGACTTGTTGTTTTGCATACCACATAAGTAAATTATTATCAATCAGTCGCGTACCACTGATGATTAAAAATATCGACAATATCAACGATCATACCTATACGATATCTTATTTATTGACGTATATTCCGTGAATCTAACCTTTATTATCTAAATATTTAAGAAAACACATGACATTGTAAAATCATCGCTACGCCAAGAATCTAATATTTGTTTTTAATTTTCCATCCTATCACCATGCGGCCTTTCTAGTACCACTAGTGGTACGCGTACCACAGTTTGAGAACCGCTGTTCTTGATGATAATTATCGATTCAATTACGCAACAGTTAACTATGTGCATGCATAGGTAGTTTGTTCAATTATATTAATAATAATAATAAGTTTGAAACAGTATAAGTAAACCGAGATCGGTATGACCTATATGTTTACGTCAAGCATAATATGAACAATAAATTACATGTCGTTATAATAGTTGGGATTAAAAACATTACCTACCTTTGTTTGCATGGACGTTTTTAACAGAAGCCATTTTTGAAATGTCTAACGCCGGTCGCTCGATGATCAGTAACCAAGGAACTGAGGGACAAAATGCGTTATTCAACAAGACTATTAAAACCAAATGAAAATATATATATAAATAATAAGAGAAAACCGCGGAAAAAACCGATAGATATTATATCGCGAACACTCTACGGTAATATTATGACTGTTATGTAGTTGTTGATCAATGTTAAATGTTAAGCGTATGGATAGCAGGTCGCCGGCAGTACAGACTTGTTCTGATGGCGGGTAAACGTAAAATGTTCAGCTGTGTTAGTGTGTTCAACAACTACTCGATCACGTGGTTAATCATGTGGTAACCTTACCTAACCGACCAATCACAGCAAAGGATTTACGCGAACGTGTTCGAGTGAAACCCACCTCCAAGGTGGCGGTAGCGGTTACCAGTTTTTGAGAGCAAAGAGATACGCCATGCACCACAAGGTGATGCTAAATAATATAATGTCTTATTCGGACACAACGATCGCTACTTCCACGTCTGGCGAACGGTGTCGATTGATAAACGTCTTTACTAACTGGCAAGTGGTGATCGAAAATTCGAAACTTATCAATTTTTATGATAGCCGGTGAGTGAGTGGTACGTAATGGCCAATGGGTCACGTGGAAAATAATAATATTTATGCCAAGGTAGACTTATAAATTTATGAATTTATCTTGATTTATACCATGATATTATCATGTAGTTGTTGCTAGTCTATACATTGAACTATATAATAACTGTAACGCTCACAGCCCGTATGACTAATGTAAATAAAATCGAGCGAGTGTGTTAGAAAGAGATAGCGAATACTTTAGGTCTTTATTGATAATACGCCGTACTGTATTCAGTTGGACAGTTAATCACTTTTCATTATTTACCAGCATAAATATTAGCCCCCTTTAGACGTAAATGATTTTGGGCGCGCTCGGAATGGACGCGCCTAGAGCGCATGATAAAACCTTTTGTTTAAAAATAAAATAGTGTACCGACTTAGCACTTGTCCAGCCCAGCACAGACTTGTCGTTCGTACCAAAACCGTCGTGTTACCTTCAGATACACCTGCTTGACCGAGCGCGCTTAACCTGTACGAATTTTTTTTATTTAGTTTTTAATTACGAATTACGATATACATATATTTGACCCGTCGGTCAAAACAATTATAATCCACTAAGGTAAAATTGATCTGCTCCGTATTTTACAGTAGCAACAGTTTTCCGAAATATTAAAATTGAAGGTTTTTGGTTTTAAAAGATAGTTGAACCAAAAATTATGTTTCAAAATTTTGAATTTCGTCTTTTTGAAAACAAAAGTTTAATTTTAAATTAGGTTAGATACCTATATGTTTTGCATTTATTTTCAATAGTTTGACCAGAATACTCATGTACGTTCTTATACAGACTTGTCCCATGTGTGATCAGACACACTAACTCGAACGAGCTTGTTCTTCACCACCACGCACTTCGAGTTCGTGTCTTGAATACCATACAAAAAGTTCTGTTTCCGTATTGTTATATTTGCTATATGGTAATATTTTAACTAAACATTTTTTCTGAGCCTCCCGAGCGCGGGGCACACGCCCAGGGCCTCGCGCCTCCAAGAGCCTCGCGTATAATATACAATCATATAATATATTGTGTAAATAAAATATTTCCAAACATTTTAGCAACGACATAAAATTTAAATACGTTTCAGATAATATCAATGTTTAAATAGTAAATACGATCAGGTACTATATTATCAAGAAGCTAACGATATAATATTATGTAATTGGTTTTTATTTTTGTTTGATTTTAGTGTTGGTATTTATTTTTTCCTCGAAATGACGACGTCGACGAACGTCGATAATAATAACATGGCATATTATAATATAATATAATTATTATTGTGACTTGATAATTGATATAATTAATGAAACCTTTTAATATAAAATATTTTCTGATATTAAAATTATTTTTAACTATAATTTTGTTTACAATTATTTCTCCCGGTGGTGGTAATTCTCATTCGTGAACTCCCAAGTTCGTTTTTATTTTTATCTTGAACATTACGCAGTGATTTATCAACGTGCTGCCGCTATTATTATTATTATTTATTGCAAAGAAATCATTGTAATAAACATATTATACGGGCATACGGCATACGGCTATACAATATACGACTATACCTAGGTATACGGTATACGGGACACGGGTAATACTATACTAGTATACATTTTTAATTTTTACATTTTAATTTAAAATATGTCTATATTTAAAATTTTTAAATATAGACATAGATCGCTACCTATTTTTTTAATTCTTGGATTGCAAAATGTTATTGTACACCAAGTTAAAACAAACAAATGGTTATCTATAGCCAATTAATTGTATACTTTTTTTAATTTAAGAATACAACTAAGACAATTACAATTGATATAAAAATGTATGCATTTTACTTTAGTTTATTACAGTTATCTGTGTAAGCAATAATTATTATTTTGGTTGATTTTGGAATAGAAGCGAACATTGATTAAAAATAAACATATTATAATATTACATATTAAATGTCATGTTATTTATACATATTATATTTCATTTAAATATAATTACACCTATATTTATTTTTATCGTCAACAAATCTTTGCAAAAACAATTACTTTCGACATTTACATAAAGTACATTGCAAAAGCCAAAATGTAAATGCTAATGTATGTTTAATAGGACGCTATACCCGCATATTGTGCGTTCTCTGTCCTACTAACGTATGCCATAGAAAAAATCTTTTGCACGGGAAAACTTACAATACTCCCTATGTACTCATAGTASAATTACCAAACTCCCATTACAATCAGGGAAGAATGTTATCTGCGTCGTAGAGTTTTTTATTTTTTTTTTTATAGTACTAACCATAGACATATTTAAAGCCTTGGTTTCCTACAATCACGCATCCGTCATTGCGTGGTGCGCGATGCGTGATCACACAAAAGTTGAAGTACCAGAAACCAATGTTTGTGTTTATAAACAATTCGCGCGCGGCATCTTTCTATCACGCGCGTCAATCACGTCGTGGTTGCCAGAAGACCAAGATCTGCGCGACACGGACGTCGGCATCTATTATATTAAACAATTTAAATATTATAATTTTAAATTTCAACAACAAATAAAAAATGGAATCCAAAGTATTTAGTGCTGATAACGATGAAAAACTTATTGAAATGGTTCGGGACTACCCCGTTTTATATAAATTGAGTGAAAAAAATTATAAGGACAATAATATTAAAGAAAACGTGTGGAAGGAAATTTCAATTGCCATCGGAAAAAACGGTAATACACAATAGTTTTTATTTTAAAATTTAAATCATAACACTTGTGATATTTCTTAATATGTATATTATTATGCTCATTGTACATTATGTATATTACTAATTTATTATGTACATTACACTATGTTGAACAACCTACCTTTAATTAAATATTCAATTTACTTAATATTGTATTTTATTATAATATATTAATACATACTATATACATAGTGTCATAGTTGGTAATATACCTACGTACTAATATTGTGGATGTTTTTAAAAAAACGCGTTATTGTAATTTTCACTTATCAACGATTAGGTATATGTGTTATTATTAAATATTTAGGATTATTATTAGATTATGTTATGTTATGTTTTTTTTAGATTTGTATAATGTCTATTTTTAAAAATGAAATACTTGATAAAATAATAATCTAAATTATAATATTATAAATGTTTTTCGATAGTATAGTATATCTATAGTATTTTGACTGTAAACTTCTTTTCTTCATTAGGTAATGATAAATCATATTAACTAGTCCGGGTGACATGTTTTTGTTGCCAACTCACTGATCCTGCCCGGCTATTAAAGTAGTCTTTGAACGAATCACGAATTTGGAAATGCTTCGTGCGTTGCATTTCCTCCTATCAGATTGAACCATATCATATTATTACTTCCATTTTCTCTCTGGTACATCGGTTCTTTTTCTGTTGAATTTGTAGAACACTCAATACTTTCATCTCTCAATAAATAATAAACAATACAGCCTATCATTATTAAATTATCGACCGTTTCAGGAAGAATTTTTATTGGTGTAAAAAACACACGACAGTATTGACACATAATTCCGAACGTATTTTCTGTCGTCCGTCTAGCTCGACTTAGCCGATAATTAAAAATGGCTTTTGTAACATCTGCTTTCGACTGATCTCGAGGATAGGGTCTCATCATTGTATTTGTCAATTTAAATGCTTCATCGCCAACAAATACATGTGGMAAAACTATATCTGTGTTTGGCAAACACCTTGGTTCAGGAAATTTAAATTGTCCAGTAGAAATCAATTTTCCCAAATTGGATTTCGGGAAAATTCCAGCATCACCCTCTTTCCCATATGAACCTATGTCTACTACTATGAACTTATTGTTCGCGTCAACTACAGCCAGTAGAACAATTGAAAAAAATGATTTATAGTTAAAGTACAAGGATCCAGAATTGTCAGGACAAACGACTCTAATATGCTTCGCATCAATGGCTCCGTAGCAATTTGGGAAATTCCACATTTGGTAGAATTCATCAGATACTTTTTTTAACATATCCTCTGTTGGTTCAGGCATTGCAATATTTTTTAACCGCTGGCAAATAGCAGCAAGAACTTCCCTTACTCTTACACTTATCCAGCTGTGTGATATCCTAAATTGAAATGCAAGAGATCTTAAACTCTCTCCGGTCGCTAAGAATCTGTAATATACATATATATATATATATATTATACTAAAATAGCTACAATTTCTAAAGATATTAAAAATTCACTTCGTTTAATACTTGCACTGAAACCAATTGATTTACATGCAGTCTCAGAGTCAGGCATCTTTTCCAGTTCTTCTAAAGTTAAAATAATATATGAATAAAGTTCTCGAAAAGTTAGAATAGAATCATGTCGTTCAAACCACCGGGTAGCACACAAGGCTTTAAGTTTTGTTTTTGAAGGGGCTGGTATTGAATTCATCTTTTAAAAATCATCTTTTGAAATAATGTCCAACATAATATTTGTTCTTTTGGCAGATGTAGATAAAAAAAACAGATACAGTGCCAATAATACCAACCAAATTTCTAATAGCTTGTACTTCGCATGCTTTGGAAATACATAAATTCAATCGGTGATTGAAACAATGGGTATATACTGCCAAAGGCTGTGTTGCGAACCAGTTATGGAGCTCGGTTGACAAGGGTCGAATCAAATGAATTTAACACAGTAGTCAATTTAAATATTATTATAGATTTATTGACAGATTAGTATTTTTAACAAGTTTATTCTAAACACTCAGAGTAATGTACAACTTAAGACAAATATCTCTAGCATGAATACTGTCAACTAGTCGTCACGCAGAAATAGTGTGTTGAGATCGCCCTACGAGCGT